TCCATCAGAATACTCTGTAATTCCTAGAATTGGTTCCAAAAACCTACGATAAACTCCGGAGAGAATTTGGTTTTAAGTCGTTGGGTTTAAACATTTCCAAGAAATTCTGTAAAGAAGGAAATCAGAAATCAAACCAAACAACGTCCCAGTCCCAGAGAGTTTAAACTCCAGAGTTTAATTTGGTTTTAAATCATATTATTAACACAGTAGAACCTCCACAGAGTCTAACTCGTTCCAGGATGTTAAAATATTGGTATTTTGGTTCAAATCTTCCATCAGAATACTCTGTAATTCCTAGAATTGGTTCCAAAACTAGTGTTGAGATCTGGGTGATTTCTGTCAGAGTCCACTGGGACTAAACCAAATCCTGTCAGAATCGTCTTTTCTGGATGGTGTTTGATGGAATCTGTTTTTGATGGAACTTGTCTTGTGGCCCTTTAGGCGCCGTGTCCCACTGGAATGGACCTGAGTCCGGCCATCACAGCCAGCCAGCAGCCTCCACCCCCACATCCCAGAACCCCCGGGCCCTCAGGGCCCTCTGGGGCCCCTGGTGGGGCTTCTGGGGCCCCTGGTGGGGCCTCTGATGGTGTCTCTAGTGGGGCCTCTGGAGCCCCTGATGGGGCCTCTGATGGGGCCCCTGGTGGGGCTTCTGGGGCCCCTGGTGGGGTCTCTAGTGGGGCTTCTGGGGCCTCTGATGGGGCCTCTGGGGCCCTTGGTGGGGACCCTGGTGGGGCCTCTGATAGGGTCTCTAGTGGGGCTTCTGGGGCCCCTGGTGGGGCCTCTGGTGGGGCCTCTGGGGCCCCTGATGGGGCCCCTCGTAGGGCCTCTGATTGGGCCCCTGATAGGGTCTCTGGTGGGGCTTCTGGGGCCCCTGGTGGGGCCTCTGATAGGGTCTCTGGTGGGGCTTCTGGGGCCCCTGGTGGGGCCTCTGATAGGGTCTCTGGCGGGGCTTATGGGGCCCCTGGTGGGGCCTCTGATAGGGTCTCTGGTGGGGCTTCTGGGGCCCCTGGTGGGGCCTCTGGTGGGGCCCCTGGAGCTTCTGGGCCCTCCAACCTTTTCACCATCAACGACGTCCATGACGCCATCGTTGCTCAACGCTGGCTGCTGGACAACTTTGTGGATCTGGAGGGCAAGAAAACACACACACACACACACACTTATACACAAACACACACACACACACACACACACACACACACACACACACACACTCACACACACACACACAAACACACACAGAAACGCGCACACACACACACAAACACACACACAGACACAAACACAGAGACACACACACGCACACACACACACACACACACAGATGCACAGAGAAACACAAACACAGACACAATTACACACACAAACACAGACACAAATGAACACACAAACACACACACAAACACACACACAAACACACAGAGAAACACACAAACAGACACAAACACGCACATACAGACTCACACAAAGACACACACACACACAGACAAACACACAGACACACACACACACACACTGGGTGTGTAGTGTGTCATTACTCTGCTAGCTGAAGTGGTTCGCTATAATTAGCCGCTAATTAGCAGCCGGAGGATCTTTTATCTGTGTGACTCAGGTCGTTCTCCTCCATCATCACATCACATACCGGGACCCGGGCCTTTTATTCTCACTAACCAGCCGATCTCAGATCCAAAGGAAGGCCATTAGTACATGCTAATTTCAACAAAAAAACACTCACATATAGGTGTTTATTTCCATTCTTCAGCTATAATAAATAATAAAAAAGGCTATGCAGCACAATCTCATCCTCGATTCAGCACCATGGACAGAGCACACTCAAAAAATGTTTCTCTACTGACTCCAGCAGCTTTCCCTGGCCTTTATGTTCTTCTTTTTTAAATAAACGAGCTAAAACATATACCAGGCGTTTGGCTTAGATGGCAGATAGGTGTTTTAAACGACACATACTGGAGTGTAAATATATTTTTAATGGGCATAAATGTGACCGTCCATCACACAGAAACATAAAAACAGGAGTTTTAGACCATTAAGTATTCATGGACAAAATATAATGAACATCAGTCTGTGATTCATATATTTTCTTAGGAGAATAACCACCCTCTCAGATTATCCCTGTGGTGGGTCTGTCCAGGTAACGCCGTCGTCTATGGAAACAGCATCTACGTCTAGATGCACCTGGTGCTGCCCCCGGGCGCCCCCTGCTTTGGGGACCCGGTTGTTGGTTGTTGGTTGTTTCTATCAGGAAGTCCTTTTCTATTCAAGCTAACGCTAAAAGTCCAGCCTGCCCTGTCGTATTTAGACCCGAATCGGTTTGTTTGCTAGCTTTAGCTGGTAGCTATCTGACTATCCAATCAGTGGGCAGAGGGCCAGAGGGCCCTGGTGTCCCCAACCTAAAATCTGATTGGTTAAAGCAACAGTTTAATCGACATTTATCATTATTATTTATTATTATTATCTGTTAGAGGGCCTATAGAACGGCTTGTGAAGGCCTCCAGGCAGACATATTTGACTCTGACTCTGCCTAGCAACAAGTGATGGCTGAAAAGTGATTGGTTTAATGCTTTAATATGAAAATACACCTCTGGAAGCAGCACAACCAGGGGAAAACCTATGAAAGGAAGCGGACAGACCATTTGGAAATATTTAATTAGTATTCATGGACAAAATATAATTAACATCAGTCTGTGATTCAGATATTTCCTTAGGAGAATAACGTGGTGGGTCTGTCCAGGTAACGCCGTCGTCTATGGAAACAGCATCGACGTCTACACCACCACCCAGGCTCTGCTGGGCCTGGGGGTCCGGGGCCCCCGGGTGCACCTGGTGCTGCCCCCGGGCGCCCCCTGCTTTGGGGACCCGGTTGTGGGGGGGGCCGTGGAGGAGGCCCTGAGGAGCGCCGGCGTCCACGTGCACCAGGGCGGCGTGCTGACTCAGCTGGACGGCGGCGGGCGGCCGGACGCCATCGCCATGGCAACGTTCACCACCGAGGCCGAGCCCCTCCACCTGCCCTGTGGGGTAAGGCAGAGCCCGGGATGGTAACCCTAACCCTAACCCTAACCCTAAGTGGACGTATTTACCAGGCTGACTTTTACTTCCTTAACCCTTTAAAGCCTGATCCAAGAAAAATAGGAAGAATATTGGATTTTTTAGTCTGAAGTCTTTCTTTGGCCCCTCAACAACATATGAAGAAATTATTTTGATCAAATTAGCGTGCAATAAGTCAAAAATATATGTTGGTGTAGTCTTCTACTGGCTGTTATCAGGTATATCTGAATGTGTACAACAGGGGTTTGAGCAAAGCTTTTACCACTGAATGATGCAGAAAGTCTCAGATCCAAAAGACTTCAGAAACCGGATCAAATATGACACATTTGGCATTATAGGGTTAACACCTCAGTTATCAAAGACTGAGACCTAATTTGTTGTTTGCTTTCGTTTCCTCTAAGATGTAAGATCTGTTTTGTCCAGTACACTTTGTCTAACCTCTGTGCTTCTGTGTTATTTACTGAAAGATCAAGGTGTTCAGTATTAATTCCACTTTTCACCTTAAAGAGTCACGTCTGTATCTCGTGGATTTTAACCCTGTAATGCCAAATGTATCATATTTGATACATACGGTTTCTTTTGCATAATTTAATGGTAAAAACTTTGCTCAAAATCCTATTGTAAACAATCAGATACACCTGATAATAGGGGGCAGAAGACTACACAAAAAATAATCTTTACTTATCACATAGTAATACATTATTAATATTAAAATATATTTCAGTTTTTTCTTCTTACATATTTTGTCAAAAGGCCAAATAAAGACTTCAAACCCAAAAAAAGTCATTTTCTGTTTTGTTTTATTCTTGGACCAGGCTTTAAAGGGTTAAAAAGCTAAAAGAATGTGGATGAAATGAGTATAGACACCCAGATGAGTCCTGATAGAACAGCTAACCAAACTAATGTGTTGATGTTCTCCTTTCAGGTGTTCCTAAACTTGTCCGATAAGGGAGTTGACCGGGACGCCTTTGAGAGCATCAGGAAATCCTCCCTGGTTTTCGACGGCCGACTCATAATCGACGCCAACTTCCAAACCAGAGACGCCTCCATTTACGCCGCGGGGCCCCTCACTAAGTTCGCCCCCCGCTACTACACCCCCGAGTGGTCGCACGCCAGCTTCAACTCCCGGGACGTCGGCCGGCAGCTGGCGGCCATGTTTGTTTCCTCCTTCGATCCGAGGCAGGAGCCCGGGGACGAGGAATCGGCCAATCGCCTCGTACCGCTGAGCACCAGGCCCACGATCCAAGGTCTGGAGCCAGAACATCTATCTATCTATCTATCTATCTATCTATCTATCTATCTATCTATCTATCTATCTATCTATCTATCTATCTATCTATTGGGTTACAGGTCGTTAGCTTTGGTTATTACAGGTTATTAGCTTGGGTTCGGTTTTCAGGTCATTAGCTTGCGTTATCCATCCATCCATCCATCCATCCATCCATCATCCATCCATCCATCTATCCATCCATCGATCCATCCATCCATCCATCCATCCATCTATTCATTCATCCATCCATCCATCCATCCATCTATCTATCTATCTATCTATCTATCTATCTATCTATCTATCTATCTATCTATCTATCTATCTATCTATCTATCTATCTATCTATCTATGTATCCATCCATCATCCATCCATCCATCCATCCACCCAGAAAGGTCCTGGTTCCCCTGAGATTCCAACCCAGAACTTTCTAACCATCACACCACCGTGTCGCCCCACCAGAGACCCAATACACGAATAATCAATTAATTTCAATTCAGTTCAACTTTATTTCTATAGCGCCACATCACAACAGCAGTTATCTCCCAGCTTTCCAAACAGAGCAGCTCAGACTGGACTCTGAAGTTAATTACAGCAGAACAACAATTCCCGCCAAGAGCAGCACTAGGCGACCCAGGGAAGGAAAAACTTCCTTTTAAGAGGCAGAAACCTGGAGCAGAACCATGGCTCAGGGTGGGAGAGAGAGAGAGAGAGAGAAAGAGAGAGAGAAGAACAGAGGGAGGCTACCTACACAGTAACACATAGACTGGATAAATAATGGTACAGATATTGATAGTAATGCTAATGATAGCAGTAATGATAGCAATAAGACTATGAACAGTGACTGTAATTAGCAGGAATCAGAGCTGTATTTCCACACCTGTTTCGCCTCTGAAAGAATTTGCATGTTTTTTTGGGTTGTTTTTTTTACACTGTGTTTTTCTGAAACATTCCCCAGTCCCCCTCTCTCTCTCTCTCTCTCTCTCTCTCTCTCTCTCTCGGCCGCCCACAGCTTGTTTTGTTGTTATTGAGCGCAACAATGCGGGGTTGTGCGTTGGCAGGGCAGGCGAGGACGCTCCACAGGTTGCATAAACACAATAGCCACTTTGCCTCGGCCTTCTCACAGAAATGAACTTTTCAGAGGGGGTTTCAGAGCCCGGGCGCCTTTTATCCGAGTCCTGTTTGTCCGTGTGGGCGGATGCCGACGGGGAAATGTTGCCTCTCCTGTGGTCTAACTCATCCGTGACGTCCGGAATGGTTTCAGAAATCTGCCTTGAATCATCCCTTCATAGTTCTCACAATCTACACCAGGGGTGTCGAACTCTGGCCCGCTAAAATAAAAAGCTAAAGCTAAAATACAGCAATCATATTTTACATTATTATCTATTAACTCATTGACTGCCAGCCATTTTCAGAACAGAGAGTCCCATACTGCCAGAGTTTTTTGAGCATTTTGACTGATTTTTCAAGAGCCACAGAATAGTTTGTGCTATGACTATGTAAACACCGAACACACCAAAAGAAAGAGTAGACTCTCTTCTTTCATCAGGAAAAAAAATGTGTTTCTACCTTATTCCGTTCTTCCTGGACTTGCGTCTCACCGGCGACATGTTCTCTCATAGAACCGTTCCCTTTTTCTTATTTGCCTACAGTCTATGCTCATCTCCCATCAAAAGTGGCACTGCCCCCTAGAGGGTCAATTTGTTACTACATACTCTGTCTAGAAGCCTGATATTTACGGACAAGCTTTAGCAGATCGTCCCCCAGCCACTCTCGTTAAAAACATAAAAGACGTCTATAGACGTCTTTGGCAGCCAATGAGTTAAAATAACGCAAAATAGCGAGTTCGGAAAATGCGATCCACCAAGTAGTGAGGGATCAATGGACTCTGAATTTGCCAAAATATATATATATATTTTGGGCATTAAATTATATTTTCTTTTTCTTTTTTGACAATAACACAATTACAGACAAATGACATTTAACAACGAAAACACAAACATGGACAGCAACACAGAACATGACAGCACTTATCAATGATCTATTCACAGACATATATAAATTCACTTATTCATACTCCCACCCAGAATTCCTTAAGATTTTTTACCAACACTAATCAAAAAGAACCTTTAAAATATTCACCTGTGGAAAGTTACCAGAGAGAAATTAAGAAAGTGATTATACATGTATTGATTTCCCTAACAAACGTGTGTCTCCTGACAGCTTGACTTGTCTCTCTTTCTTCAGGAGGGAAGCTTCCTGGAGGATATAACTACCTGCACATCACCAAACCATCTCCTACCCATGTGGAAGGTCCAACTGTCCATGTGGTGAGATGTTCCACATGCTGCTTCTTCTGAGGCTAGGGACATCACCCTTTTAGTTATACGTCCACCCACTGCTGCATTTGCATCCTAATTCCATTTGAGAGCTCGTTAAGGGGTTCTTGTTTACAGCTCATTTCCCAACATGAAAACTAAGGACATGCTAAAAGGTTCAGATAAAACAAAAGGGTTTAAGGTAATGCTGCATCAGCTTTAAATGGCGGTTTCCGCCTCTAGACCAGGGGTGCTCACACTTTTTCAGCATGGGAGCTACTTTTGAAATGACCAAGTCAAAATGATCTGCCCGTTATATTTATTGAGAAATATATTGAGGATTGTTACGACCCATTCGGTATGAAAGCGATACGTGTTTTTCTTCTTACTGGGTCCAGCTCCCCCAATCATTTTCATAACCTATCTTACGTTTAAGAGGAAAACCTTTATGAGGTTGCCCCCCACCTCAGCTTACTCCCCTATCTGTGGAGACGTCGTGGTAGCGTGAGCGTTAGCATGGTAGCGTTAGCATGGTAGCGTTAGCATGGTAGCGT